AGATTGAATTTCCTTCTTCAATATTTAAAAACCCTTGTTTTATAGGAAAGAAAATTATATTTAAAATATTTAAGAATTAATAATTTAAGGAATAAAGGAAAAGTTTTTTTTTTTTAAATGAGAAATACTATAAATTCTTTTTAAAGAAATTCTATAAAATTATTTAAACGATTTCTTTAAAAAGAATTTTATAAGATCCTGCAAGATCCTAAAAAGTTTTATAGGATCCCATAAAGAATGATCTATAAGATCCTGTAACAATATCTATCGAATCCTATAAAAAATAATCTATAAGATTCTATAAGAAATCTATAGGATCCTATAAAGGATTCTATAAAGGATGCTATAGATAATTTATATTTAACATTTAAAACATTTTAAAAAGCATTTAAAATCGTATAAATCTTATTAAACTTTTAAAGAGATAAGAAAGGATTTTAAGGATCCTATTAAATAAATTCTTAAAATCTTTTAATAAAGGTAATCTTTATAATGTTTTATATTTCTTAAATAAAGAATCCTTTAAATGCTATAAAAGATTTGTTTCTTTTTTTACAAAAAATATTATTTAAAATCCTTTATTTCTAATTATCTAATATAAATTTTATCCTAATAAATTATTAAGGATTTAAAAATTTTAAATCGAAAATTTTGAATTAAAAGATTTTTAAAAATTTAAAATTAAAGAAACTTTTACAATATTAAAAAATTAATTTTTATAATAAAAAATGTTTTAATCAAAATAAAAAGTGGTCGTTAATTACAAATGGCCGTCGTTGGGAGGTGGACGTTAATGGAATTTCCCTGTACAAAATATTCTTTAAAATAATCTAAATTAATTAATTTTATTAAAAATTAATTTTTTAAATTCGAAATCCTGTAAAGGATTTTTATATATCCTATAGGGATCGTTTAAGGAGCCTGTAAGGATTGCATACGGAAAGAATAAAATCCTTCATAGTATTTTGAACTTATAAAAAACAGAAGTAATAATCCTTTATTTTTGTTTTATCATTTATTTCACAGGATTTAATTAAATAATTTTAAAAAGTCCTTTAAAATAAACAAGACAGAAAGAAATAAAGGATTGTGAAAAGGTATTTACATAATTCTTTTCTATTTTTTAAAATTATTTTTTCACAGGACTTTTTAAAAATTACTTAATAAAAATCCTTACAAAATTTCTATTTTCTCAATCATCAAATAGAAATTTTTAACGTTAAATAAAGGATTTTATCATCCATCCTTCATCACCGTATAAATTAAGGTTAAAATTTAATTTTAAATGATAACATTTACAGATTTATTAATTTAAAAAAAAATAAAATAAAAAAAACATTTTAAGGAGATTTTTAAAGGCAAATCTTATAAAGATTTCCACTAATTTGAGTGCAAGTGTACTAAGGAAAATAGGGATTTAAATATAAATTTTTATCAGTTTTGGATATAAGAATCGATAGATGTAATTCTTGAATTTATTAAATATTCATTTGGCTATTAAAGCTATAATATAAGCCATAATAACAGTTACAATTCGTAGAACTGTTGTTGGGAAATTCATTAGAAATTTTCAGGTTAGAAAAGTGATGTAAGATAGGTTATCGAAGTTAATATTTATATCCGCCTAGTTCGATTAGTAATAGGAACACCTGGCCTAATCTACGCGGATACAAAGACAACCAATTCGATTAGGTTTCCTCCCTCACTTTTTTGTTATAGCTGAATAATATAGATTATCCAAATATCGATTCACAGACTAATTGTTGATGAAACTTTTTTTTATGTAATTTTACTTCGTTTTTATCTCTCGACAAAATGGCTATTTCGAATTTTAAATTAATTTAAAATATCTTAAGATATACGTCTTAGTATATTAGCACACCATTTTAGCACTTAAAAGAGATTTTGGGTTTCGTAAAGTTGTAACGAATTTTTATGGTTAATTTAATGAAAAAAAAAATCAAACCGAAACATAGAATTTAGTCTATTATAAAATAAGATATGTAACAAAGACTGTGATTTGTTGTCAAGAAAGCGTGACCAAACGGAAATCCTTATAAAATTGTAGCAAAAGTTAACATTTTCTAGTGGAAAAAAAAAAACGAGTCGAACACTTATCGTCAAACGTTAACTGTTTGTTCGAGGAAAAAACTGCTTTTAAATAAATTTATAGCCCTTTAAAACTTAACAGGGATGTAATTTATTGTCTTTTCTAATAAATAAAATAAATTTTAATTGAAATTTGCACGCAAAAATTAATAAAAAGGTGAATTTTTTAGTCGATTTTCAGGAATAAAATGCAACTTAATAGCTCTATAGCTTCTAAAAGTGATCATTTAATACATGTCAAATGCTCACTTAAAGCGTAAATAACTATAATTTAGGGAAAATTAAATAGTGTTTTTTTTTGTTTTCTTACTATTTATGATAGAACAATTGTATTCTAGACTTGGCGAGGATTTAACAAAAGAGATGTATTATGCGCTCCTATATAAAAAGAATATTACTAAAGTAGGTTATTATATAAGAAAATTCAAATGGAAATTATTATTTTGAGTGTTGAACATATTCAGAAACATGTAAACAGTAATGGAGTAGAGAGATATGTCTGCAATAGCATAATATTACAGGGACTCGAATTGGAACATGCCAGCCAACACCACTCCTGCATCACTATGGATGAAGAGTGAACTCCAGATATTGTATATATCTGGAGTTCATAACTACGTTTGTTGCATTTAAATCTTTATTTGAATTTATTTACAAGCAAGAGGAGACTGGGCTCCCTGGGCCCCACCCCGAGGGTCTGACTTTCAGAGAGGGTGACACCTTCTCCGAAATAATACATGAATAAAATCAATAAAACAGATTTTTCACCGCTTATCAAAAGCAGTTTTAATTTGTGTTTTACACAGAATATTGAATTTTTGGAGTCCATCAATGTCTGGGATTCATTCTAACTGGGTGTTAAATGAAGAATATTGTCACATTTTAGTAATATGCTAAAAATCTCACTTAGTCTATCATCAATAACGAAGGGACGGTAACCTATCATCTAAGCAGTCAATTCAACGATCGTTGTATCGATAGTACTATGAATAGTAGTGTTTTATTAAAAATAAATAAATAAAATGCACACTATTCAAAGTACAATAAAATTATTTTCATAATTTTACAGATTTGTTTAACAATTAGATAAGTTTTGATAATGTACAGTACTGTACAGTACAACCAAGTTCAAATATAGGGATGTTAAGAGGATCCTGTATTACTGGGATACATATAGAAATGCTCTCTCCAAGTTTTATTCTTTTATATAAAACACACGATAGAAAGCGATATAAAATATAATGAAATGATTATTATTCGTTTTATTGATTTTATTCGTATGGTGGGCCTCACGTTTACGACTGGCTCGAGCTCCATTTCATCTCTCTCGATTCTTAGTTGAACGAACAATTCTTATATATAAGAATTATTATTCTTAAATACTACTACAGATAATATAATTTGTACAGAACTGTTGTATAGAAAAATTCAATATAAGTGTATACCTATATGCATCTCTATATATAAATTTAGGTACTGTATATCACGTTTTAGGGCTATATACATATATCTGTATATAGCGTAAAACGTGTCTGTATATGAAACAAATTTACATAGAGAACTTGTATATAAAAACATGCACGGGGAGTCATGGGGTATCGCTTTTCATATAAAAAAAAATTTAAATTTTGAGGGTTCTTCTGTATCAGGATTTTTTCCTGATACCTTTCTGTATAATACTTTCATCTATTTACCTTCACGAATAGAAAATTGGATTAGAACGTAATTAACGAACACCTAACGTTAGTTGCCCATTAAATTACGTTTTAAACAATTTTTATGGGCCTTTTTTTCTTGTAAAAATAAGTTAAACCTTTACAATTTCTAATATTAAAACCTTGAAAGGGACACATTTAAAACCAGTTAGCGTGAAAAATCGATATATTTCGTGGGTTATCGACATCTAATCGGAATGACCCTAAACCCTAACCAAATTTTTTCGTATTGAATATGGGTTTTTTTCGCTTGTGTATCACTTCCCGGACACGGCAATTACGCGCTTGTGAACAGCTTGCGTCGGGTCAAACGACAGCCCAACGACATTTTGTGTTGTCACTTGACAAAGAAATATTTGCCGACTTTTTTTTTCTTTGACGTGACATGCGCCGTTCTTTCTTTTGTGTTTCGAGCTCGCGTGACTCTAAAGCCACGTGTCCACGTGTAATGCTCGTGCGGCTACTCCATTCACGTTCCTCCGGCACGTGCCGGATGTGGTGGCACGTGGATAGAACGCATGCGTAGCGCGAAACTATGTCGAACTTTTTAAATTTTTTTTTTATTTGAAATTCCCTTAGAAATGAAAAAAAGAAATTAAAAAACAAAGTTGAAATTTAATGAGATTATTTTTAAAAAATTTATATTATAATTTACGGTTTAATGACTTTTTTAAAATTAAAAATTTGTTTGAAGTGTTTAAATTTAAATTATAAAAATTCACTTTATTCCTATTTAATTTTCTATATTTTGAAGGGGGAAAAAGCTTATTTTAAACGTTATTTACTACTAATTAGAATTTTTCCTATATTATAATTTAATCATTTAAATTTATATTAAAAAAACGATAATTTAAACTCTTCAAAAACAATTAAATTACCTTTAATTACAATTTAAAAAAAAGGCATAAAAATTAGAAACGATTTGTTTAATTATACAGTTATTATATTTAAATTAACTTTAGCAAAAAATAAATAAAATAAAATAAAATAAAAAAACTATCGACAGGTTGTGTGTGTGGAAAAGTATCAACCGAAAGGGGAAAAAATAGCGCTCTTCGTATGATTGGTGGAAGAATCACCAATTGTGAGTTCACCTATTGTGTTGCACACCTGAGTAGCGCCCTGAAACTAGCATGATAACAAGTACAGGTTGTGACTGCAACATTGCTGCCAACATATCTGAGAGGGACAACAACTTGTGAGATATTACAGGATGGTTAAACCATGACTATGTCTACGGAGTTGACCGCAGCCTGTGCGGACGAATGCGATCAACCGGCCGATTTGACCGTGTCTAGAAGATCGGAGGGTAAACAGGCGCCTGTGCATCCACCCTCCTTCTTAATTTGCGACATTATCGACAGTGAAAAGTCAAACAGAAGCGTTAACGATGCCGATAAATCGCCTTCTGTCAGCGAAGATCAAGAAAAGTCTCAGTTTGCAGGTGAGAATCGCGCTTTTTTTTAAAAAATTCTTTCACTTATTAAGCTCGTGTTTTTGACTTTGTTGCGATGTATGGAAGTTATTTTTGTCTTATTTATCGAGAATTTTTTTTTCTGTAAGAGTTTATTGTGCTGGTTTCTCAATTCTTCTGTTTTGTATCGTACTGAAGTGTTGAAATTGTTTCTTATTATGATTTTCTCGTGTTTTGTTAAATTATATTTTATTTTTACCACTTTCTAGCTCTTATTTTGTGATATTAAGTCCCGTAAAAACTTTATTAAGTATCTATTTTCTCCCTTCTACCTTCATCGCGTCAAATAGTCCTCATTCTCTGCTTTTTCTGCTTTATTATATACACAAAACTATTTAAATTTGTTATATCATTTTGTGAAATTAAGCCTTATTTAAACCTAATTATAGTGCTCAATATTGCTTTCTCTAAACTTTATCATGTCAAATAGTGCTTTACATCTTAAATATTAGGAAGCTTAAAGAGATTATCTATTATATTTAAAATTTTATAGGATTTAATCACTCACTCTTTAATTTTCCATAGGACTAAGTCTATGCGGTTTAGGTCTATAAAATAGAAACTAGCACTCCTAACTGTAATATTTTTAAAAAAATGAATAAAAAATATTGTATAGAATTTAATTAAAATACTACATTTTAATATAATTTAAATAAAATATTAATTATTTACTAGATTTTTTTTAAATACGAGTTTTTTTTCGCTTGTCACAATTAATCGTCATCAAATTAAAGGTTATTAAATCAACTAAAAATAACGATGTAATTGAAAATAAATATCTAAATTTTCGACTCACCCAATTATTATTTATTTAGAAAAAAATCAAATAAGACAGATTTCACATCAAGGTTTTCAGATACGCTTGGCTAAAAATATTGTTCTGTTTACTTAACGGCCAATTACTTGTTCATCGTTCCAGATAGATTATTCAACGTAAGTGTAAGCCTTTTTGATGCCTTTTTTATGCGATTTTCTCGTTGAAATCATCGTAAATTTGAGCCTTATTTATTACTTTTTCCATAACAAACGTATCCATTTTCATAAACTTCCTTCCTTCCTCTTCTTCACTATGCATCCTTTCTACTAAGGCTCTAACAATGTAAAACGGTGTAATTAATTTCAATTCTGTTTAATTAATATTTAAATTTGATTTTAATTATAATTATTAAAGAAATAATTTAAGTTTAAACTTAAAATTTCGTCTTTTTAAAGTAGATATTTCTCAGATTAATTGTGATTTGGTCTGATAAACTTTAAAGATTGTTTTCTTATTTGGGTTGCTTCTATAAAATTATATATATATATATAAATTTAATTAGAATTAACTGTTGAATGTATGAATGTATACGTTCAACAATCTCTTATAAATATAAGACAGGCGCGGTTCAGTATAAAATTAAGGCTATACAAGGCTCAAATGTGAATAAGACAAACTGTAATGTATTAAACAGTTGAAATTCTCGTAAATTTCAACCTTATTTATTGGTTTGTCACTGTAAACATATCCAGTTTCATATACACATCTCTACAGTTTGAACTTTCTATTAAACTCTACCAACGTGAGGATCATTTCTAAATTAACCAACTTAAATTTAATTAATATACAAAATTGATTTTAATTATAACTATTTTTAATATATTTAATTCCTTATAGAATTGACAAACTACTAAAAACAGCACGAAAAATTTGAAATTTATTTATATTCGTTCTGTTTCTAATTGTTTTTCTATACTTGAGACTTAAAATACTTTTCGTAGCCTTTATATATAGCCTATAAATTAACACTTATATCTATAATATAACATTAAAACACGTACTGTACACCTATCACAAGAACTGTATCGTTATGTCTGTATACGTTTAAAACAGGTAAAGGCTACTTACAAGTTGATAAACCATTATGAAAGCGATTAAAGCACTTATTTGCACTTCTCTAGAAATATTTTAACTTTGAGGAGATTGACTCGCACGAACTTCTTAACCTAACTATTCTACAGTCGCTTCCTTTAATGTCTATCAAACTGTCTAGCAAGGCCCATAGGCTACGTTAGCCTACGAAAAAAAAAACAAAAATGGCAGCAACCCCGAATGTGATTTTTCACGCAAAGATACGAATAATAATTACTGTTACTGTCATTTTTATAAGGCATCTCCAACGACTTATGTCATGCAACGTGGAAGAAATTACGAATATAATTATCATTTTCAAACTGGAAACGTGCGGCCGTTAAATTTTTAGAAATCGGGCCAAGATTTAGTAGCTTCGAAACTCGTAAGGATTGGTGTTTAGGGATGGAGATTTATTTTCTAAACGGCCATTAAACATTTTGACAGTTTAGGTATCAGAGTTAATTTCCTGCTAACGCTTAGAGGTAGTGTTTTTTATGACTACAAAAGGGGTTACTAATGCAAAAGTCAGCGGGAGTGATCGGAAACTCCAGGTGTTATTTTCATTTTTGTCCATCAGCCAACCACTTTTATCGTCCCCCCTCCTGTAGGTGGGTGTTGTTAGATCTCCGCTTCTATGTCAACAACTGTATATATTACTGTAACGGTTTGTGTTTAGGTGGGTGTGTGTATGTGTGTGTGTGTTGTATAGTCGAGCTCGTGTTTGACAAATGACAACGGATGCAGCTTTCAAGAACGATATTGATAGCGGATATGCACTTCCAGTTCCTGTTTTAAGACGCGGAATCATTCGAAAACATTAATTATCTTCCACTAGATGTAAAGTATTATGGTAATTTAATATGTCGAGATCGATATCTACTTGCCGATTC